TGGCTAGTTCCATTGTGGTAGCAATCCTGGCCCCAGTTTCATCAACACTAGATAGCACTATCCTCTGTGTCACTAAGCGTGACGTGACCAAAAATTTGGTAAGAAGGTCCAGAGTCAGAGATCTATGTAATAAGTTTATAATATCATCAATTCTATTTTAAAAATATATGTGGTCATTCCACGAGAGGTTTCTGTTGCCAGAAGAAATCTGAAAGAAAAATAGTATTAATTCATGCATAAAATTACAGCAGATGTCATCGTGAATTGAAAAAAAAAAAAAAAAAAAAAAAAATTTGGAAGTCAAATTAACAGTAGCATCACTGAGAGCATCCGAGTCCANGCATTCATTTAAACACATTGTACAACTAGAAGAAAATAAATCCACACCAGTCTCACAGATAAGAAAAAACTCTTACCAAGTGAAAGTTTTACAAAAAAGTCACAGAAGTGATGCTTGGTCTATACCAGTACATAAACAGTAGAAAACATTTTTTATTAAAAAATTGCTCAAGGTAGATGCGGAGAGAAACAAGTGGTCACAAAACTAGCTAAACAAATGAATATGCTTATCACTGCCATTTTTGTTTGCAGCCATTTTGAACTCCAATATGACTAAAAAAAAAAGTGCAAAGAATTCTTCCCACACTCCCCTATCATAGGTGAAATTATTATTATGAGGAAAAAGATTTCAAGTAATATGCAGAAGGCAAAAGTAGTGAGCAAGGGAGGGTGTGGGGCAACCAGTGGGGAGTTAATCTATCAAGGTACATCGATTTGGATGTCCCTTTTCTGAGGGTAGAGGTTCTCCTGCCCAAGGTTTCTGCCATAGAGTGGAAATTTATCAAGCCACAACATGAAAGTGTCTGTAGGTCGTACTGTATCATCTACTAAAATAACACCATGATGTTTTCTTGTAAATTACAAAATGATAATAATAATGTATAAATAAAAGATCACAGTCATGGTCACTAAGGGAGTAATTCTGAAAAAAGAAGTCTCATAAAAGGCAAGGTGGTGGACAAGGGAACTGCCCTGGGATGCTGCGGCACACAGTGTAGAGTTAACTTCTCAAGATACACTGATATGGACGTCCCTTATCTAAGGGTGGAGATTCTCCTGCCCAAGGGCTCCACCATTGAGTGGAAATTTATCAATGCAGAAAATAGAACTGTCAGTCTTATTCACTAAATTAACTCAATAATGATCCCAGGAGAAAAGGCTTTGTTGTAAATTGCAAAGCAATATGATAATGAAAAAATAACAAAAGATAACAGCCATGGCCACAGAAAATGGTTTTAAAAAATAGCCTAGTAAAATACAGTGGTGGACCATGGAACTGCCCAGGGATGCTGAGAAACACAGCCATGGTACACTGATATGAACGTTCCTTATCTAAGGGTAGAGATTCTTATGCCAAAGGGCTCCACCATAGAGTGGAAATTATTATCAATGCAGAAAATGGATTAGCCAGTCTTATTCACTAAAATAACTCAATAATGATCCTAGATTAAAAAGACTTTCTTATAATTTGCAAAGCAATATGAAAATGAAAGATTAATAAAAGATAACAGCCATGGCCACAGAAAATGATTTAAAAAAACCAGCCCTGTAAAATGCAAGGTTGTGGACCATGGAACTGCCCAGGGATTCTGAGGAACACAGCGTAGAGTTAACTTCTCAAGATACACTGATAAGGACATCCTTATCTAAGGGTGGAGATTCTTCTGCCCAAGGGCTCAACCATAGAGTGGAAATTAATCAATGCAGAAAAAAAAAAAAAAGAAGTGTCAGTTTCAAAAAACCATAAAATGTGAAAGTCTATACTTAACCCAAAAAGTGGGTATTGGTAATTATTACTTTGCATGTCATGCTTTATTTGGAATGCATGTGCAATGTTTTAATTTGATATATATAAGCATGGTAGCCGTCAGGTTGCATGTCAATTATCATATGTAAATAAGAATCAATCATAAAAGACAAGGCAGAGTCTCACAAGAGAGACAAAGGTAGAGGGACAGATACACTGATACTTGCAGAGACCTGAATCTTGTACTAAACTGTACAATTGAAGCAAACCATCACCTGGATAATTGGTGAAAGTAATCCTTAATATAGGGAAAACATCTTAAAGGCAAAAGTAGTGGGCAGGGGAACTGTCCTTGGAGGCCAGGACACATAGTGGAGCAACCACTTCCTCAATGCAGACCTACTCTTACCCAAGGGATCCACATTTGAGTGGAGGTACATGTACAATGGCTGTAGGCAGGGGAACTGTCCTTGGAAGCTGCGACACAGAGAGACAACCACATCCTCAATGCAGACCTACTCTCACCTAAGGGATCCGCATTTGAGTGGCGGTACAATGGCTGTGGGCAGGTGAACTGTCCTTGGAAGATGGGACACACAGTGAGACAACCACATCCTCAATGCAGACCTACTCTTACCCAAGGGATCCACATTTGAGTGGAGGTACAATGGCTGTAGGCAGGGGAACTGTCCTTGGAAGCTGCGACACAGTGAGACAACCACATCCTCAATGCAGACCTACTCTCACATAAGGGATCCGCATTTGAGTGGCGGTACAATGGCATGGGCAGGTGAACTGTCCTTAGAAGATGGGACACACAGTGAGACAACCACATCCTCAATGCAGACCTACTCTCACCTAAGGGATCAGCATTTGAGTGGCGGTACAATGGCATGGGCAGGCCCCCGTTTCACAAAAAAACTTAAGTCGGTTTCCNGTGGAACAACCACCTCCTATCCTCCTTCTCCACACTTGAGAGGAAGTACTAAGGGGCATTGATCTGGGAGACTTGGACACACAAAAGGGAAAAGGGAGAGAGGAGTTCAACTTTAAATTCTATCATATGCAACCTCAAGTATCCTCATTTTCTATTTAACACTTCAATTTGGAAGCGAGTAAATTAATTATTGCTTTTGTTGCCCCTTGATTGAAAGCAACTTTTACTTTGTTGAACTTGAAATTCTCTCTCTCAAAAGTAGTTGGTAGGCTGATGAATAAAAAAGGCAATACAAAATTCCTTTCAGGCTGTCAATTAACTTTGCTTTAAGTGCATAACTGATAAGATAATAACTAGTTAATAATTATCCAACTATAAGATTGGGTCAGAAAGGGATAAAGACAGTGATTAGGCTGTTGGGGAGGGGGGGGGGGGTACACAGGTAGAAACATTCCCGACCCCTTGATATTGCTAAGGTACAGAAAAATAAAGTAACTTTTTAAGTTTTACACTATACACCTAAGCAAAGGGCGAACCATATTGACATTCCTCTTCAGTTCTGTACATTTCATGCAAAGAAAATGGCCATACTTTGACAAACACCTGTTGGTAAGGAACATAACAAATAGATTCACGCTCTATGCACCATTTCTGAACCAAACATTAGATATCTAAGTTATTTAAGTTGATTACAATTTAGCAAGAATCCCCTCCGAGAAACAAAAGATTGATTCGTATAGTTAGTAGGGTCTGGGAATGGTCCCTTCATTATTTTCCTGGGCTGTGTGTGTGTGTGTGTGTGTGTGTGTGTGTATGTGTCTGTGTGTGTCCATCTTGGAGGTTACTCAACCTTTCTTCTTGTTCATGTCTTCCATGTAAAAGTTCAGAATGGCGGCAGGCCTTCCAGTTGGTCTGTTAACTTTAGATGCTTTGATTGTCACCTGTACATCCAAGGCGAAAATCAATAATTCGCTTTTCGATAAGTGTCTGTAAAAGAGCTCTTATTAAGTTCTATACTATAGTGGCTAGTTCCATTGTGGTAGCAATCTTGGCCCCAGTTTCATCAACACTAGATAGCACTATCCTCTGTGTCACTAAGCGTGACGTGACCAAAAATTTGGTAAGAAGGTCCAGAGTCAGAGATCTATGTAATAAGTTTATAATATCATCAATTCTATTTTAAAAATATATGTGGTCATTCCACGAGAGGTTTCTGTTGCCAGAAGAAATCTGAAAGAAAAATAGTATTAGTTCATGCATAAAAATTACAGCAGATGTCATCGTGAATTGAAAAAAAAAAAAAAAAAAAAAAATTTGGAAGTCAAATTAACAGTAGCATCACTGAGAGCATCCGAGTCCAATTCCACTGCTGACATTAGTACTGACACAACCAGATTTATCAGTTCAGCCTCAGAATCCAGATTTCGCATAGAGACAGATGAAAACAAAACGGCAAACAACTTTTACAATTTAGTGTTTTTTTTTTTTTTAATCAATGTTCTTGTAGTGGCACTGATCCCGGAACTGATAGTAGAGTCGGCCCATGCGCAGCTGGCGTGCTCTCTCGATGTTAGCGTCATACCAAGTGACTCAACCTAATTTCAGGTAGGCATATCTCCCCCGATCGTGAGTTAAAGTTTCACATCGGCACATTATTGGTGGCAGCAGTGGGATTAACAACCTAAGGCAACTTTTTGTGTAATTTTTTGAGCTCGCACGCAGTTATTGCCATAATAATAGCGTTTTTAGCGGAGCTCGAAATTCGTCTGCTATAGTACACACTAACGCACGTATCGATCCCAACGTCGTTCTACTGTACGTACTGAGGCATATTGTAAAATAAATAGTCACAAGCACATTGCATCGTGATGAGAACGTCTAGAGCGCAACTGAAACAATCTTCATAATGCGTGCCACTTTTGGGTCCAGATGTACTCCCATCTCGTCGAAATAAAGTTTGAATGACGTTTTACAAAGTCTCAAATTGCTCCCATGTAGGGTTTTTCAGCCTCATCATCTCATTATTAGTGTAGCATTTCCGACTTTTTACAGTTATCACACAGCAGAAAGAATTCAACGGCATTTTAAAGGGAATCAATCAAAGTACAACCATCTTCGTTTTTACTCCTAATGAAGAACCTAGTCTATAATTTATAGACTCACTGCAGAGAAAGTTTGATATTAATTCCGGCGTCTTCAACGTCATGACGTATTTCACGCTCAGCGCGCGCTAATGTGTTGGCTTTTCCTGGAAAATTGAGTACAGCACTCGATAGAGGGCAGTATTCATTGCCATCAAGATTTGTCAAATATTGAAATAGTGGGCAAAGGGGTGTGGGAACTGTCCAGTTATTTGTCTCAAATTCAACAGACGACCTAATAAGTCAGCAGACACAAATGATGGAAAATGTCGGATACAAAAGTTGAAAAAAATATTGGAAGTACGAAAATGATTGAAAAATACTGGTACCTAGACGCACTCTCCTAGTACCTGCCGCTGCTACGGGCCCTAGCTAACCTTGCTGGAAATGCTAGAATGCAATTCCAGTTGTAACTCGTAAGTTTGTCAAAATGCATCGGGAGGTGTTTTTTTTTTCTTTTGATTACAATAACAATTCTTATGGTTCAGCGATTTTCTTACTTTTGAGAAATTAACCTGAATTTTACCTTGGAATTTTATTTAAAACGATATTTCATACTGCCACCTATCGTCAATATAAGCACAACACTACGGCGCAGACGATGGAAAAAGCTTTTACCAAAGTTTTAGTTGCCAAAAGTATAAAGTTAGCAACAAGGTAGTAAACCTAAAAGAATTTTTAACACTGTTGATATTTTTTCTCAATTTAAGTACGTTTTGGGGGATAAGTCAACCTGAAACATCCTTTTCTCGCCTGTTTCGTAAAAAATTAAGAGTGAAGCATCACCAGCGATAGCACGAAATATATCTGAAATGAAATGGCTGTGCACATTAAGGTTTGCAGATTAAGGTTTGCGGGTTGCTTTGACTGTACACAGCACTTATTATTGAATGTTCTGGGTATACACTAGGCAAAAGAGGTGTCTTTTTCACTTTCAGTTCCAAGATGATGCAGTGAAGCCAGCATGTTGTCCATGTTTTGCCAAAAAATTAAGAAGAATAATCTTTCAATGAATTTTATCAGTGGTCACATCATAGTATTTCTGATTTGGCTCCTAGCCATGCTGATAGGTAGGAAAACTTTTGTTGAATAAAATCAATTCAATGATATTTCATACATTATATTTTTTGTCACAACAACATCGATTTAACGCACACCCAATGTTTTCATAATTATAGATATTTCAGTGAAAATGTGTAGAAATGAATTTAGGTTAGATGAATATGGATTGAATGATCCACTTTAATGATTATTGAATAAAACTGTCAGTACTTTTTCATGAATGGCTAGCTTGCTGTTTTAGAGTTGAGCTCTCTATCTCTCATCTGCTACAGCGGAAACAGTTAAACTAATGAATGTGGACTGGTGCCAGCAAATTAAATTACACAAAATATTATTTTTATATTGTGGTTTCAAAGAAAAATTTAAGGATTCTGGCATCAGACAATGGGGGTGTGGATCTTAGTTACCATATTATTATTATTATTATTATTTTTCTTTTACAGATCTTCATCTCCCTACTCAGCCCCAGTAGATGGACTCATCACTACCCTTCAGTAGACATCTTATGATCATCTCGCTGTTATTCTACACTCCCTCTCCCAGTGGATGGACTCATCACTATCCTTTAATTAGTAGACATGATATGATCACCTCTCTGTTATTCCACACTCCCACCCTGTCCCAGTGGATGGTCTCATCACTATCCTATTGTAGACATCATATGATCACCTTCCTGTTATTCTACACTCCCTGTCCCAGTGGATGGACTCGTCACTATCCTTTAGTATACATCATATGATCATCTTCCTGTTATTCTACACTCCCTGTCCCAGTGGATGGACTCGTCACTATCCTTTAGTATACATCATATGATCATCTTCCTGTTATTCTACACTCCCTGTCCCAGTGGATGGACTCTAAGTAGACAGGTGTTACATGTATCCCTGACAAATATTCTTTACTTCAGATGGTGTGTCCTCTTCTGCCTGTCCCAGTGGATGGTTTCATAATGTCACAGTAGGCAGATGTTATATGGTGTCCAGTGGTCAAGAAGTGTTCATGGGGGCATTTGGTAAATGCTATAAAATGGATGCAAAACAAACCATGCCAAAGACTGAAGATTTACAGGCAGCAGTGGAAGCTTTAGTAACGTACGTATGTTCATTAAATGAAGGGGACAAATGTTATCTTTTTTATAAGTGCTTATACCACTTCTCGTGGAACTATATAATGACAAGTGGTGCTTTAAGTGGTCTTACTTCTATTTCCTTTCTATACAAATGAGGTCATTGCGAAAGCATGTGCGCACTTGCGCATCTGTTCTCTTCACTTCTGTTTTATTGTCGATCGCGCATGGCACGTGTGGCCAGAGAGCAGCACATAACTCAAGGAATATTATGGCTGATAACTTATTAAGGTTGAAAGTAGACCAAAAGTAAAAAAAAAAATGCCGCATGACCACAAAACCTTCCGATGGAAAGTCAAAAGAAAGTGGTGACACATCACTTATTATAACACAGAATCGAGAATTGCCACTGAGTAACATTTATGTGGGAAATGAAAATGGCGCATCCACGATTGCCGATAATGCCACGACTGTGGTGGGAAAATCAGTGCAGCATTGAATTAAAGGGATAATAACTCTTGGTATGAGATCTATATTTCACAATAAAAACATTGTGAACAACTCATAGAAATATAATATATTCTGTTGTACCACAAAAAAAAAAAAAAAAAAAAAAAAAAAAAAACCCGGCAGTTATAGCTATTATTCTGATAACTGAGCTTGTCATTGGACCACAAGACCTCCATAGATGGCTATACCCTGTTATAATCTCTTAAGAGATTATAACAAACAAACAAACTTTTTAGAAAAAAAAAACAGGGACTAACTTTGAATGTAAAAATTGATTCATTAAATATTGGTAAGTATGGGAAAATTGTTGTCTACTCCAGGAAAATTCATTTTTTGGCCAAAACGAAGAGTTATTATCCCTTTAATAGCTGGCTCACTGAAGAATATGCAAGGTATTTTCAGAAGAAAACTTAGTCAGGTATGATTATCCTATGTTTATTATGTTGAGCAAATCTCTGATGACACATCAGTGTTTAGTGAAGCTTGGAATTCAGATCATATGGTCGATATGGCAGATGCTGACCATGAAGAAGATGCTCACAAAGTTTTAATTTTTTCAATTTACCTCATGTATTAAAACAAGAATTATTATCAATTTTGTTTTCATGTGTACATGTGAGGATGGAGGGTGGGAGTAAAAGGACTGATATACTTTTTTGATATCCCACTCATAAAATTTACTGGAATTAATGGAGAAGATCGTCAGTTTTAGAGAAGGGTAGACCACCTTCTCTTTGCATTGTGGTGTATAACATTGCACTATGGATTAATTCTACTAGGTGACTGCTTTGATAGAAATAAGCTATCAACCCAGCGGGCAAGTTATGTTGTTTTAACGTTGAAACAACATTGAACCATAACCATTGAGAAGACATCGGATAAACTTAGGATTTGAAAGTTGTGTCAGCCTCAGATAACAACTGCTGCTGGGCTTGACGTTTATTTTTCAGGTGACCTGTCCAGTCAGGCATACTGCAGACAAATTTCACTTATCCCCAGCTAATTTCCACTGCCCCCCCCCCTCCCCCCAAGCCCCCCCCCCTTCCAAAAAAGTGCATTTTTGTTTTTCAATAGCTAAGCTGGTTCGTTTAGGGGGATATAATGATGCACAGTTTTGCATCCTGACTGTGCCATTGTGCAATTCCTGCATTGAAAACGATGTTGTCCCTCATTTTGAGACATGTAGCGCCGCTGAATGTGCAGTGTTACAAAAAATGTCCGGTAAAATTTAGTTAAAAGCACCCATTTAAAAAACAAAAGAATATCCCCCTTACACTTATCGATTATTCAACATGCGGCCCGACTGAAGCCATATTTGTTTACCTAGCACGTGTAGTTAGGTGTTCTAAGAGGTCCGTGCGTGGCCGGTTGTAACTTTTATTTGTCTTTTTCAATAAAACCATTACAATGCCTTCTTTACTGAACTTATTTGAAGACTAAATGAAAAAACAAAATGATCAGAAAACATGTAATACTCATTAGTAATTGGTTTTTATTTGATGAAACCATCAACAAGAGGTAAACAATCTAGATCTCTGAAAACCTTGATTACCCAAAACTGAGAAAATGTAAATGAAATTGTCCTCACATACTGTCTAGTACTTATTAATCAGTCTTACTGAAAAGAGATTTCATTTCTTAATGAAGTAATCTCTTTTTCCTGCGCCACACATTCAGTGCATCCTCATAACTTATCTTACTCCCAAGAATCTTATCTCTTACACTGTTCGCAGAACATTTTCGTTTGGGTGCTGTCGTACTGGAGCTAGGGCCATAGTTGAAGCCATCGGGGTTGGAAACCTCGTGCGACCTGAGAGTGAGAGGTGCTAGCACTAGCAGTAACACTACTGTCAGTGTCACTACTACTCGTGTAGTGCAAGGATCGCTGCTCTCAGAAGTTGGTACATTATCTTCCCCCATCTCCTTTGAGACTTCTTCCTGAACGTTGAACGGACCCTTAGACGAAGCGGTTGAAGTAAATAAACTAACTAATGTAGGCTGGTCTGGTGAGAATCTTTTTCGGCGGCATTTTTCTTTTCACTTCATCAAAGTGCTGCTTGAAAAAATCCCATTTGCTTTCAGAATGAAAAGCAAGGTTACTTCTAATTGGATAAACATGACCTATAAACTGATTGGCCAATAAGATATCAGCTTTTATTTCATTAGCATATCTATTGGGACGATGAGCTCATTGCTCTCGGCAAACTTCGGCGATTGCGTTCGATAACTTCCGAATTCGTTCCTGAGAAGTCTTCAGGTATGAGAGGAAAATTACGCTAATCAGTTGACGATTATTTTATTGACGAGTAGATTCTTTTTAAAAACGCGAGGTATAACAAAATCATGTGCCCTTATGGCGCTCAAACAGGGCTTTTTATGCGCAATGGCGCGTTCCTTCCCAATCACTGCATATATATATATATATACACACACACACACACACACACACACACACACACACCTGCCACGGGCAATCAGGCAATCCTGTTTTGTTGAGCCCTGATATATATCAGGGCTCAACAAAACAGGATTGCCTGATTGCCCGTTGCAGATATATATATATATATATATATATATATATATATATACATATATATGTCTCAATTAAAAACTTCTGGTGATTATGCTGTGGTATTGCAAATGTGAGAAAAAACTGCCACCACAAATTCTATAAAAGGAAAACTGTTGGTTATTATTTTCTAACTCGAAAGAATGATTCTTAGGATTGTCATACAGCTCAGAATAATTTCAGCTTGATAGATTATTTTTCTTGAATTTATGCAATTTTTGTGAAATTTTTAATTTTGTCATTCTGGCATTTTTTATGTGTGAATTTGAACTCTTATGGGGCCTGAAATCCTATTCTAATATCTCTGTTACCTTGTGTGTATAATATATATATATATATATGTCTCAATTAAAAACTTCTGGTGATTATGCTGTGGTATTGCAAATGTGAGAAAAAACTGCCACCACAAATTCTATAAAAGGAAAACTGTTGGTTATTATTTTTCTAACTCTAAAGAATGATTCTTAGGATTGTCATACAGCTCAGAATAATTTCAGCTTGATAGATTATTTTTCTTGAATTTAATAAATCCAAGATGCAGTGGACTAGATATTATACTGAAACATAGACACATCAAATTTCATGTCAATCTGACAGTTAAAGAATGAGATATGGAGATTGAAGTTTAGACTATGTTATCAATCTTCAAAGCTGAGAAATCGCTCATAAACCATTTGGCTCAGGTAATTGGGCTAATTTAGCAAATTAACTGCACCTCCTCCTTACCTGTTATCATCTTACTGATCAGGAAGGTCTGTCCACCATTATGTGTTAAAATTGGGTTGTTTGATTCTATCTAGATGCCAGAAAATCTTACTTTTGTACGCAAACTTATTCGCACCACGAAAGCTGTTCTTCCCTGAGAAATGATTGACAGCTGAGTAGGCCTACCTACTCTCGTTTCACTGACGTAATTAATCATAATTGTGCCTGCAATTATATAACAAACAAAAAGAAAATTACTTGAGGTGCAAGCAGGGGACAATGCCACCCGTCGTGCGTGGACGCCGCTCTACACACCAAGACGCGAAAATGTAGAAAGCAAAGAAAGAATTACTCCGAGAAGTGGCCGAACATGGGTATGTATCAGCCACGATGCCACAGAGTGCCAAGACCGTAAAATGCGAGTTTGAAAATGTTTTGGGTAGCAATATTATTTATAAACTTGCTTGCTGTTACGATCTTTATTGTGAATAAAATGATTACCTAACGATTTTTTTCTGACAACCCCAGACGTTGTATGAATACTCAGCAGCTCAATTGTGATCTCGAGTCTTTACCTAAACGTGATTGAGACACTAAGGGAGAAAATTTAATATGTTGTTAACAATGTAATGGAAACAATATAATCTCAGTTTAGCTGACGTAAGACTTATGAGCTGCCAGTGCACGCGTAACAGCTTACGACAAGTTAGACAACCATTCTTGCCCTGCCCCCATAGTAACGGTGCTTGACAACGGAGGCCGACAGGACAGGTAGAAAAACTCGTCCAAATGTATATTTTTAGTCCGTGTTGAAAAAATATAATTGAGTATTAGATACAATATTGGTTATTTCTAACGTATAAAAAACTAAAAATCGAGTTTTAGATGTATTTGTAATATCCTAGACCCCTTAAAAAAAAGAAACATTCTCTCTTCTTCCACTCCAGGCCACCACCTCCCAGTCATGGACAAAATCCTACGTATTGGATAGGTCTGCACCAGATCTGGAATGATGGACCTGAGAGCTTGCGATGGGAGGACCTTGAATATCTGTCACCAGGAATGTACAGCAACATATGCCCCAATTGTGTTCACGCAGACTATGATGGCTGTGCTGGTTTCTATTTAGATAACAGTGTTTCCTTCCAGTGGATAAGGGGTTCCTGTCTTGATTATCACTATTATATATGTGAAAAAATTCCAGGTGGGATTCAAAGTGAAATTTGATGATTATTTGTAATGTATGTAAAAGAAAAACATGATTCCAATCAGCACCTTAAAATTTTCATCCATTTTTCTTCTACCTTCAGTCTGTCTGTTCTATTTGCCCTAATGTTTTAGAGTATTTTCCTTGGGCTACCTGTAAATAATAAATCATATTTTAGAAAGTGGGCTATCTGTTTTTGTAATCATTTTCACAAGTGTAGACATTTTGCAGACTCCTAAAAAAGCTATAACCTTTGTCTACACATCCCGATGGTGAAGATCATGTACAGTTTGTAGACTTTTAAAGTTGTGATAATGGATGACCCCTTAGTATTCAAACATTTCTGGCTTTTGAAAGAATTTAATTTATAATATATGCAAATAATTAAAAGGCAATCTGCTGCTAAAACTGCTGCTAAAACAGCCACTTTTATTGAATTCACCTGATACTGATATTAAAACTCCTACTACAGTATCAGGTGAATTCAATAAAACCTGATACTGTAGTAGGAGTGATATTAAAACTCCTACTACAGTATCAGGTGAATTCAATAAAACTGGCTGTTTTAGCAGCAGATTGCCTTTTAATTATTTGCATATAGGCATCTGTACTATTGCTGTTTATTTGATTTTAGCTCCTCCAAGGTGTGAATTTCCCAGCACCCCTCCAAATACTCTGGAACCAGTGGGTGGGAATTTGGAAGGAGATATAATAACTTACACCTGTCAAACAGGTTACACACTGATCTCTGGAGACCTGACGAGGACATGTCTAACTGGTGGAATATGGAGCGGTTCACCCCCTGTCTGCGACTGTAAGAATATGGTGGAATTTTAAATTATTTTTATTTGCATTATACTCAGCTTAAACCTTTGAAAACCTTTGAACAATGATCTTGCAGGTAAAGGTCAAATTGTAGTCTAGGGAAATATGGTCATTTTTGGCAGAATCTTGTTATTATAATGTAATACATGTACATGTACGTTCATTTATCTAGAAATAACACTTCATTGTAAGATAAACATAACTTTAGAAATCTGCGGAAATGGGATGCAGCAGAAGTTTTTTTTTTTTTTCATTCATTTATTTTTTCCATTTGCTTGCTTTATTTATTATTTTAAGAGACACAACTTAAGGTTAAAAACACCTTGTACAAACACATTATCACCCAATAAAGAGGTACAAATAAGGTCACAGGCATGCTCTTAAAAATATTTAGTGCACATATTGCAAACTATTTTTGATTATTTTAGGGTCCCACATGAAGAAATTTATATCAAAGTTTCACCGTCCTGGAACCATGAATAATAAAAAATAATTCAGCGTCTTACCCCAAAAATGAACATACTGTCAGAAATTCAAAACATCCAGCTTTGAGACATTTTGCTCACTTTGAAAATTCAATCGTCTGTAGGTTTGTTCTTTGATTTATCTCCTACGAGTATAATGTTATAAAAATTATGATAATCTTCTGTATAATTATTTTTCTGTGACTTTATCGGTAGTTTACTTAATTGTCACTGAATATTAAATAATCAAGGAAAATAAAACCTACTGATAGTAAAATAAGCATTTAGAAATAAACTAGTTTTCAACCCTTCATCCAAATATTATATTCAGAAATGTTAAACTATCATGGAATCACAATATATTTTTTGGTCAGCAACAGAAAACACTCTTTTCTATTGGACTAAGTACATGGACAAAATGAAACTTTCTGACAATTTTTTTGGGGGAACATAGGCTCTGTTCTCACAACTTTTAGATCGATCTATCACCGCGGGGAGTCTCACTAGATTACTGTCAGATAATCCCCCTTAAGTGTCCGTCCCCGCCTACTACAAGCTTTAAGGGGTAATTAACTTTCGTGTCCGCCCGGCTGACAGCTATTTAGCGTGAACCCCCAGGGAGTTAGGTCGATCCAATGTACATGTAGGTCGATCTAATCTATGAGAATGGGGTGATACATTACATTTGGTATTAGGCATGACATAAAGCCCCTTGAGTTACAGTTTAAGTATTTATAAAAACATTCTTACATCATATATAATTTATCCTGACTGAATCACTACAAAATATATCGGAACAGTATAAAAATTAAAATTAAATGACCTGGAAAGCTGCGTTACTGGGACAAAGGTTACCATTTAGGGCTCACATTTGGTAAAGACATGGTAACAATTGAATACAACTGAATTCATTCAACTTTATTTTTTGGACACTTCAGCATATGGTTATGGTCTTCTGAGAAGTAATTGCAGTGCACTTTTCACCATATAAAATGGCCTTATAATATTCTCAAACTTACTGAATGGAGTGATTTTTTGGGGTTGAGTATGTGTGTAAAAAATACAGAGATTAGTACTTCAAAAGTGTCTTTTGTGTGTGTGTGTGCGTGTGTGTGTGTGTGATATTTTCTCTTTTCACATATTTGCATTTTTAGTGTGTGACTTAATTTGTGTGTTTTCACAAGAAAATATCTAACTAACTGCTTTAAGATTAACATGCTTCCTGACATTGAGTAAAATACAGAAAAGCTGGTGATGAAACAAATACCTGGGGAACAAGAGGATGCATTCCCTCCTCCTTTTGTTCATTTATTCATTATCCACAGTTTTTTTCTTTCTTTTTTTTTTTGTCCATTAAATAATCATTCAGTTGTGTATATCCTTACAGTTGGAGGGAGCTGGCTGGCCTGGGGAGCCTGGAGCAGCTGCTCTGTGATCTGTGGTACAGGAACCTACTCTAGAAATCGTACTTGTCTTGATCCAAATCTGCCCAGTGAACTGGCGCTATGTGCAGGTGGAGCCACCAACTCTACCCAGACACTGTCCTGCTTTGAACAACACTGTCCAGGTAATTGTATTCCACCCAGACACTGTCCTGCTTTGAACAACACTGTCCAGGTAATTATATTCCACCCAAACATTGCCCTGCTTTGGACAATACTGTCCATGCAGTTATTATATTCCACCCAGACACTGTCCTGCTTTGAACAACACTGTCCAGGTAATTATATTCCACCCAGACACTGTCCTGCTTTGAACAACACTGTCCAGGTAATTATATTCCACCCAGACACTGTCCTGCTTTGAACAACACTGTCCAGGTAATTATATTCCACCCAGACACTGTCCTGCTTTGAACAGAACTGTCCAGGTAATTATATTCCACCCAGACACTGTCCTGCTTTGAACAATACTGTCCAGGTAATTATATTCCACCCAGACACTGTCCTGCTTTGAACAATACTGTCCAGGTAATTATATTCCACACAGACACTGTCCTGCTTTGAACTACACTGTCCAGGTATTTAGGGTAATATGCCAAACAGTTCGACCAAGATTAATTAATTTATTTCACGGAAATGCCATTTTGGTCGAATTGATTAAAACATAGCAATGGAAACCTTTGATATCGTCGGATTGTTTGGGGCATCTGCCAAAACATCCATCTTACCAGAAGTATTGCATATTACCCGAAGTGTTATGCAAGATAAGCCGCAATTTTCTCTTTTTATCCTCCTTTTGAAATCTTATTTTGCTGTGTATAATATGTGCTAACATTACGTAACATTCAAAAAGACGACAATTATAATTTCTATCTATTTATTTCCCTCACCTACGATCATTTTTATGATGCGCTTCACAAGTGAGATGATTATTTCCCTGGAGACGAGTGTTGTAACGATGCCCGGTCACTTTTATTTGAAACCGGTAGCTTTAGTGGACTTAAACTAGTAATGTGATCTACGTACGCCCTATTTGAATTTTAATATGACAACTGAAATCAACCGAATTGAATTTTTTTACCAGTCTGAGATCAACCCGCAAGGCTTGCTCGGTGTAGAGGCGTACTTCCGAAGAAAATTCAATCACCCATATCAAAGAATACCTACTCAGGCTACTGGTACTCAATCGGAATTCAGTGTAACTTTAAATTACTTTCAAGTATTTAATGTAAAAAGCATGTCATATTAAAACATATTGAGAAAAGGCAAACTACGGAGCATACCTGTGCCGATAGACATATCTTGCTGGCACTCTTTGATTTTCTTACTTACTGTATATACACTCGCTGTGCACAAACCACGGTGCATATTGAAAACCCCACTGATACAACCCGAACGTAAAATAAGCATTTAATTGTACCACCAGCATTGGCGCTGGCAGTACACATGGTTTTAGTCCCGTCCGGATCATTCCGCCAGCTCCGCCGCCATGTTACCATTACCGCTTCTCCTCCTAGACGGTAAGGGCCTCCATACCCATCTTGTTGGATTTAGGTCACCTATAATCTCAACTCGTTCCACGTAAAATTTGGGCTTTGTCGGTATTGGGGTCTAGGTGTGGCACTCACTGCAATGCACCCTTGTCCGAAAATGGCAAAATTAAATGCTAATTATCTACCCTAAGGAAAGAATTATGGGAAAAATTTCTACAGACGGCTTTCCAAAAGTCATATGTGTAGATTTCAAATATGCCCTTGGATTTGACCTTTGACTTTTATTTCGAGGTCAAACGGGCCAAGATTTTCAAAAAAAAGAAATTTTTTTACGAAAAAAAAAATTATTTGCGCTGTTATTCAGACACTACACAGACATAACCAATAATATTATTGGAAAGTGTAACCCTTCGGGCCATCTTTCATCTCTGTGAATTTGGGGTTAATCGGTGCATTTTCACATGAGTAGCAGCCATAAGATTCCGAAACTGAAAACTGTCTCTAATTCGGGAACCGTTAATGCTAGAGACCCATTCATTTTTTGCATTTTGTAGAGCATGTAAAGCCCAACACTGGAGGTGGTCTCCATTTTTTTTTTTATTCCATACGGTTTTCTGAGTTACGCTGTATCAAAAAGTACATATTGGTGGTGAAAGCAAAATGTGCAGTACGGTAATAGATAATAAGTTTTGAACCCCGGGAAAATAAAACATAAGGCTTGGCGAGGCAGACAACTTCTGGTCAAAAATGACATTATTTCATGAAATTTGAACATCTGGAGCTTCTGAGCACCTGCCATTTCAAGAATTTCAACCAAAATGACCTTTTCTTTATTTTAATTAATCTTTTCTGTACGAAATTTATGGCACATTATTGTAACTCCAAAATTATAACATTTAGTCCATTATATCTCCAAAACTGGCAGAGATACAACATGTAGGTCCATAGTTTTTATTGAACTTGAATAGGAAGTCATATACTGGCAATCTAAATGTGACCTTGAAATTGACCTTTGACCTACTTTTAACCAAGAACTGAACTTTGCAAATTTCCGTTCCCTTTTATCTCCAAAACTGGCAGAGATAGGTCCATGGTTACTATTGAACTTGAATATGAAGTCATTAGAGGCAATTTACTGTGACCTTAAAATTGACCTTTGACCTACTTTTAACCATGAACTGAACTTTGCACATTTTGGTTCCCTTTTATTTCCAAAACTGACAAGATATGCCCATAGTTACTATTGAATTTGAATAGGAAGTCATATACTGGCAATCTAAGTGTGACCTTGAAATTTACGTTTGACCTACTTTTTATCATGAATTGAAGTTTACAAATTTTGGTTCCCTTTTATCTCCAAAACTGGCAGAGATAGGTCCATAGTTACTATTGAACTTGAATAGGAAGTCATATACTGGAAATTTACTGTGACCTTGAAATTGACCTTTGACCTACCTTACTATGAACTGAACTTTGATTGTACCATTTTTAGTTATATATATTTTTTTGCATATTTTGAGAATTCTTGTTGATTGCATTTTTTACAGCTTGTCAAGCACAAGACTGGTGGTGGTGTCCCTTTTTTGTGTGTGTGGGGG